ACCACCAAACCTATCACAATTACTCAAGCCCAAAAATCTCTATACTAACGTAAAGTCATGTGTGAAGAATATGATGCCCTCATCCACAATTCTACATAGATCCTTGTGCTAGTCATAGGTGCCCAGCAAGCCAATCACGTGAGTGATTGCACGTGTGACTTAACACAGAATCTTTTTGCTTATTATATTTTGGCATTTATCACTTTATATTGACCATTGCATATATACATGTATATATTGTGATGTCCTTGGATCTGTATAATGAGAATCGGATCATGATGAGATCACGATAATGAGACCGATTCACCTTTAAACATGAATCCTAAATAATCCTTATCATAGGTTACTCGAGAGGGACATCGAGATAAGCGGATAAACTAGTGTGTTGTATACCCATCCATATGATTGATGCAGTTGGTCTCATAGTTGCTCGTGTGGGGACACTAGGGATACAGTACAGGTGCTCATTAGAGAATGAGTTCACTGATTGATCTACTTACAGAATGCTGGATGGTTGATGATATCTTATTGTCAAACAACGATTTCGTAGTCCTAGTGATTTATCTGGTCCTTAGACTTGAGACACCAAGGATGTCCTGTATTAGTGCTCCATTCTTTGATACCGGACTTATAGGTTTGGATGTCCTAGATTTAGTACAACCGGACATTGGGAGTGGTAGTCAACCTTACGAGGGCTATTGAGTGTCGATAGAGGATTATCCACTCTTCGCATCATGAGAGGAATATCCCATATATTCTTGCTCAGACAAATCTCTAGTCAAGATCATTCAGATTGAGAGAGAAAGAGTTCTCCAAGAGAATCTGATTAGAGCGAGACTCGAGTAGAAACCGTATGGGTCTAACAGCACCATACTCGGTATACGGTCTCGAGGATATTAGATGGATGAGGGACTATAGATACATGGTAACTGAGGACAGATAGGTCCAATGGATTGGATTCCCCTATATCGTCTGGGGACTACAGCATAGTGGCCTAGTACGTCCGCAGTCGATGAGTCCAGTGAATTATTATGGAGATAATAATTCACTAAGCTAGAAGGAGTTCTGACAGGTATGACTCATGGCCAGCTCGATATTGGGCCTAGAGGGTCACACATATATGATAGGCATTGTAATAAGTAGAAGTTCAGATATGAGATATCTGCCGGAGACCCTGCCTTATTGGATATCCAATAAGCCATTGAATTATTAGATCCTATGGACGAGATCCAATAAAAGCCTATGAGAGATTATTGGATAGAGATCCACTAATCTAAGAGGCTTTGGTAATTGAATGCAGATCCAATACCCAATAGGGGAGGATCCATTAGGGTTTGACAAGGGACCTCTATAAATAGGAGGGATTTAGTGGTTTATAGGCTAGAGCCTTTGCTTGCCTCTCCTATTATCCTCCCCCTCTCCACCTCAGAGTAGGTTTGGAGTTTTGAGGAGCGTCATCATAGCCCTACTATGTGGATCACCGCTAGAGAGGAGGACACTTGACCTCCTTCACCCTCTCCTAGAGATCTGCAAGGAAACAGGGATATACGATCTCCCTAGGTAACACAATTTATTCTATACATAGTTTGTTTCATGAAATTTTATGCACCAATCTTCACATGACGACGAACATCTTTTTGAAAAATTAGAGATTTTGTTTTCTTGTTCTTCCGCTGCGCATGTGATGTCGCCCCTAAGATTTCCCAACACCTTGTATCGTCTCATCCCACACAAAATATCATCGGGTGCAAGTGGGTCTTTCGAATTAAGCGGAACCCAAATGGATCCATTGCCAGATATAAAGCATGCCTAATGGCTAAAGGGTTTCATCAATGGCCTGGTGTTGACTTTACAGAGACATTTAGTCCCATTGTTGAACCCACAACAATCCGACTTATTCTTAGTTTGGCTATCTCAAAAGGTTGGTATTTACGATAACTCGATGTTAATAATGCCTTTTTACAAGAAACCCTAAATGATGATGTCTTTATGTAGTAACCTCTTGGCTTCATCCACCCTCAGTATCCAAGGCATGTTTGTAAACTACAAAAAACTATTTATGGACTTCGTCAAGCTCCAAGAGCTTGGTACACCGAACTTTGCTCATTTTTGGCATCAATTGGCTTCATCAACTCCAAGTCGGATACCTCACTATTTCTTCATCACCAAAGTGGTAATATAATATATTTTCTAGTATATGTGGATGATATTATTGTCACGGATAATAATCCTATGGAAATCAAAACATTCCTCAAGCATTTAGCAGATCGATTCTTCCTAAAAGATTTATGACCCTTGAGCTATTTTTTGGGAGTAGAAGCAACATACACGTCTTCATGACTCTTCCTATTACAAAAAAAGTATATTCAATATCTATTATCAAAGACGATCCTGCAAGATGTAAAAGCAGTTACAACTCCTCTTTCTACTAGCGAGTCACTCAAACTATGTGATGGAAGCCCTACTATAGATCTAACTCAATACCGATAAGTACTTGGCTCCTTACAGTACTTATCTCTCACCCACCCTGATATCTCATTTGCGGTCAATAAATTATCATAATTTATACATCGGCCATCTACTATGCATTGGTTTGTAATTAAAAGAATCTTGCAATATCTTCATGAGACCCTCAATCATGGCCCCTTTTTTCGCAAACACTCCACCCTTCATCTCCATGCCTTTGTTGATGCTGATTGGACAGGGAACTTTGATGACAAAACATCCACGTCAGGGTATATTATCTTTCTTGGAGCTAATCCAATTAGTTGGAGTTCTAAGAAGTAAAAGATAGTTGCACGATCTACAACTGAAGCTGAATATCGTGCTATTGCAACTACTGTTGTAGAACTCAATTAGGTCACGAATCTACTCAAAGAACTTGACATCACCTCCACCACCTCTACTCCTATAATATATTGTGATAATGTTGGAGCTACTTACCTATGCGCGAATCCAGTATTTTACTCATGCATGAAACACATAGCCATCGACTTTCACTTCATGCGAGAATAAGTTATCAAACATCAACTATATATTTCTCATGTACATACAGTTAATCAACTAGTAGACTCACTCACGAAGCCTCTTGCCCGTAAACTATTCTCATCACATCGATCCAAGATCGGTATCCTTGATATAAGCACCATCTTGCGGGGGCCTGATAGCAGTTAAGATTTTTCATAATAGCTATCAAGACTTTCCCAACTACATGAGGAAATATTACTGTTCTGTTGAGAAAAATCATTTCTTCTTATGTGTATCATATCAAAATCTTTCTTTGTTTCATTTTTATTCTTAACATGGGTGACTTATTTTGTAACACGAGAAAGACCACGCTAAAGCTCCACCCCTAACTAACCACCGATGAACTAAGGATTGTTAATTGTATGAATAAGTAATGTCATAAATAATGAATGAATCATTTGAATAACATAATTTACTACATATGATATTGTTAAGATGACTTTGTGTATCTTAAGAATGAAATATTATAATTATAAAATATCTAATGCTCATGAGTTATTGGTATAAACTAAATTTTGGACAAGACTGGATCAACGATTCACTATCCTTTAGTCTCGGAAAGATTGAAGGTCTATTCACCTCATTAACAATTAAGATATAATTGTATGATATTCATGAATCTATGACTATGATTTTAATGGATATTGTATCTCGTATGTATCAATGTCATGTGTTGTAAAATTTGCATATCAATTTTATGTATTGCTTTGAGTTTTCTTTATAATTTTTCTTACGTACAGACAATCAACATAAAATAATACTGGAACTATTGTGTATCTTAATTATGAATAAAATAATAATTATGATAATGATGATGATTTACTCTTTGATGGGCAATAAAATCTGATTGATTGATTGAACCTAATCAATATTTTTATAATATAAAATTATATCTACAAACTATCGATATTAATTATATTTGAAAAAAAAATAGTTTCTTTTCATCGGTCACTGCGGATCTACTCACACGTGGGTGGCGCCCAGTCCCACGATATCACAAGCCAACACCACTTACTATACATCATATCACAAGCCATTGCAGACCGTACGATCACAAATCGACTGTGGCATGTCACTAATGAAAGCTAGCGAGGTAAGATCTAGCTTTAACGCTCTCGAGAAGGCTTGTTTCATGATGAGGTCGATGCCTTGGTGACTGCCCTTTGCCTGTTTGACCAAAAATTAATCATTAAACATATTCGTAGACTATTATTCTGTACTTCGATTAACTAATTTATTTATTTATCTCTACTGCACTGGTAACACAGGGCATTGATTTGATTGCCTGTCAATTTTTTACGGTAATGATTATAAGGTTTTCAATTAAATATAGTCTTCATGACTTATCCTTTTTCGAAACAATAAATATCATATTATATAATATATACATCAACTTAAATTTTAAGAAATATTTAAAAACAATTGACTTGGTAGGAATATAATTTTTTTACAAATTCATGAAAGTTATAAACATATATAAGTAATTTAATCCACCTAGACAATAGTGTTCTAAACCTATGATTAATTCCTCAATACATATACTACAACAAGAAGCCTATTTTAGTGAATTTATTGTCATGTGGCATCTGTCTTGCTATTGCATTTCTTGGTGTAATGCTTTTGCAAGTGTAATGTAACGACCCTTGCAGATAAATCCGACAAGCTTCCACAACTCATCTCCAATAGAAGCCAGAATGCAACTTTTTCTAAGTAGATTTACTTGGATGTCACGGTTCTCTTTATTCACTTTCTCTCTTTTTCTTTTTTTGCATGGCATTCACTTTCTTCCCAAATCTACTTCTTTACCAGCTTTAATGCTTTTCTACATTTCTTTTCCTATCAAATACTTCAGATTTTACCGTAGAAAACTACTAAAGATTTAGAGAGAGAGAGAGAGAGAGAGAGCATCTCCCTTTTTCAGTCTCTAACTAAATACCAAACTTGCAGCAATAATATCATACACTTGACGCATTCCGCCAGGTCATACCTTCATCTTCCAGTCGCCACCTCCCTCTTGTTTACTACCCCGCCATCATCATCTCCCTCTCTCTCTCTCTCTCTCTTTCTCTACTACCACCTCTTCCTTTCCCTTCCCATTATCAGCAACAGAAGACAAAGCAGCAGCAGAACGATGAGGCAGCAGCAGCAGCTCCTTCTTCCCCACCTCCTGAGCTTATTATTACTGTGCGTTACGCTATCTCGAGGGCACAACATCACGAGAATTTTGGCGCAGCACCCGGAGTTCTCCACCTTCAACCACTACCTTACAGCCACCCACCTCGCAGGCGAGATCAACCGCCGTCTCACCATCACCGTCCTCGCCGTCGACAACCCCGCCATGGCGGCCCTCCTCACTGCCCACCCGGGCCTCTCCCTCTATTCCCTCAAGCACCTCCTCTCCCTCCACGTCCTCGTCGACTACTTCGGCGCCAAGAAGCTCCACCAGCTCACCGGCGGCTCCGCCCTCACCTCCACCCTCTTCCAGGCCTCCGGAGCCGCACCCGACACCGCCGGCTTCGTCAACATCTCTGATTACCGAGCCGGCCACGTTCTCTTCTCCGCCTCCTCCCTCCCCGCTTCCGCCTTCGTCAAGTCCGTCGAGGAGATCCCTTACAACCTCTCCGTCATCCAGATCAGTTCCGCCCTCTCCTCCCCGGCCGCCGAGGCCCCAGTCACTGCGCCCGCGCAGGTCAACCTGACGGCCCTCATGGCGAGGAAGGGCTGCGCCACCTTCGCTGGCCTCCTGGCCGCCACCGCGGACGCCGAGCAGACGTTCGCGAGCAACATTGACGGGGGCCTCACGGCTTTCTGCCCCCTCGACGAAGCCATGAAGCCGTTCCTGCCCAAGTTCAAGAACCTCACCGCCGATGGCAAGCTCTCGTTGCTGCTTTACCACGCCATCCCCGTCTACTACTCCGTTGAGATGCTGAAGACCGGTAACGGCGTCGTGAACACGCTGGCCACCGACGGCACGTCCAGGAACTACAACTTGACAGTGCAGAACGACGGGAATCAGGTGACGCTGCGGACGAGGGTGACGGTGGCCACCCTCATGGGGACCCTGATCGACGAGGACCCCCTGGCGGTGTACACCATCGACAAGGTGCTGGAACCGATGGAACTGTTCAAGCCGGCGGAGCCTCCAGCCCCGGCGCCGGCACCGGAGACGGACAAAAGAGCGGCGGCAGCGCCCAAGGCGGGGACATCGACATCGGCGAAGGCGTCGCCGCCCGCGCCGGCAGGGCCGGAGGGGCAGCCGGGGGACCAGAAGGCCGCTGATGAGAGCGCCGCCATCAGGAGCGGTGTCTACTGGTCGATGGCAGCGGCGGCGGCGGCGGCCATTGTGGTAGTTGCTTGAAGGCTTTCTTTGCCTGTTGTTATCTATTGGTTTTAAGCTTCGTTTTCTTTGAGGAAATAAGAGAGGGAAGGAGGTCGAGCTGATTAACAGATTTAATATGTTTTGTGTTTTTTGTTTTGTTTCTGATGTTTTTGTTTCCTTCAATTTTTGTGTGCCGGTGTTGATTGGTATCAAGTGCAATCTCTAGGAGTGTGTACTCAAAGCTATAAAAGGATTAGATTATTTTGTTTTGTGGTTTTTGGATTAATGAGTGATTTGCAATGTTTTCATTCTCATGCAGGCTAATTGGAATGTCAATTTTATTAATCTAAATTATTTTATTTAAAATATTTAAATTTAATTGGGAGTATAATAATCTTCTTCTATTCATGAAATCATCATCGATCCAGATCAAATCAAATGGTGAATCCACGTCGTGACAAGTCTTTTCCTCTTCACTTAGCCCTAATGATAGATCTAATCACAAGTCCTCTGACTCCCTCTTCACTTAGCCCTAATGATGGATCTAATCATAAGTCCTAACTCTATCTAAATATAACTTTTTACCCCTGGTTATAACCTAATACTAACTTTAATAATATTTGTCATGGCTTGATGGATTAATTAATCTATCAATTTCATTTGAATGTAAAACATTAGTCAAAATACTTAAGATAAAATTTATAATAATATAGTCATCAAACTCTTATAAGTTTATCTTAGCCTTATCTACTTTCGACGTGAAACTAATTAAGAGTGTTAATATTGACTCAAACATAAGTGCTTTGTGATTTTTGGATTGATTAGTGATTTGCCTTTTATTTTTTAGGAATGTACTCAAGCAAAAGTATAAAACAGATTGGCTTGTTTTTTTCTTTTTTTTTTTTTGTTGATTTTTGGGTTAATTAGTGATTTGCTTTTGTTTTGGGTGTGTACGCAAGTATGAAACAGATAGGATTTTTTGGGTTTAGTAGTTATTTGCCTTTGCTTCAAATATATTTTAGGGTATATAATCTCAATTTTCTTTTATTATGATGGTACTGACTAGTTTAGTTTACAACATAATTATAAAAACCGGATAGAATCGGGTGATTGGACCCCAAAAAACAAAAATCCAGAATAAAAAAAAATTCTTTCTGATCTATTTAATATTTTGATTTTCATTAATAAAATTAAAATGAACCTATTGAGTCGATTGATTTTTGTATAATCCATATCGACCAATCAAACGGAATCTAATTAACTTGATATTATAATTTCTTTAAAATTATTTAAATCTTTTTTATTTAACTTTTTTATATTTACATTTAAGAGTATTTATGTCAACTTAAAAAGATAAATTCCCGAGGATATACTTTTATTTTTAGATGATTCATAGGAAGTGTCCCCAAATTTTCAAATAATACCCCCTTTTTATCTAATACTTACAATCATCTACCCTTTTTGTTTGTTTATTTTATTTTTTTTTATAAATCAGTTCATAGGTAAATCAGTCTGGTTATATTATTTTTAGGCTGTTATAATGCTTTCAATAATATAAAAAATGATAACATAATAAAAATACTGTTAAAATATTTTTGCTATTATGTTATACTTTTTTTCATTTTGTTGAAAATATGGTAATGTAGTATAAAAATATTATATTACTATATTTTTTATTATGTTATAATATTTTTTAGTATTACTAAAATACTATAACATAATGTAAAATCATTAAAATTGGACTAATTCACCCATGAATCAATCCATGAAAATGAGAAAAAAAAAAAAAGGAATAGATGATTGATTATCAAATCAGGCATCTTCCAAGTATTAGATAAAAATGTATGTTGTTAAAGAATTCTAAAAATGAATGCCACTTGTCAGAAAAAAAATTCTAAGAAAATTTTCAAAACTTAGACCAATTTAAAATTAAAACTATGAAGAGAAAGGAAGCATTTTGATCTACTCCTCTCCCTGCACCCTATCTCTTCTTATTATTTAGTTTGATCCTTATCTTCCTCGTCACTCCACTCTTTATTTTCTTTTTTTTTTTTCCCTCTGTACCTCTATAATTCCACCATAGATCACTCCTCTCTCTCTCTCTCTCTCAAATAAGGGTCACTGATGTCGTTAAAAATCGTCTTCTTTATTATTATGTTAATGTGTTAATATAGTCACGGTTGGGCTGACAGCCCATCAACCCATAATGGGTTTCAACAGCCCACAGCCCACCCCTTTTAAGTCAAACTCTAGATCTAATAAGGGGGTGTGGTGGTTGCGAAAATTAAGAGAAAACCACAGTAACAAGGGAGAAAATTACAACAGCATCTTGATTCAACAAAAAAGGAAAAAATGACAGAAAAATAAGAGAAAGAAAAGGAAGAAGATAAGGACAATGCAGAGAGACTATTCTCAATCATTCAAGTAGTATCATCATCTTGAGTTAGATCAGATCTATAGTAGATTTTTATTGTGATTACTTAGGGAGAATTTGAATATTATGCACAGTGATGTAATCCTTGTATCTTAGTTATTCTCTTGAGATTATTGCTTAGGTTTTGGGCAAAAGACTGAGATTTGTATATTCATTATTCTTATAGTGGATTATCTCTAGTTTGCCCCGTGGTTTTTACCCTTCATGTTGGAGAGGTTTTCATCTTGGTGTTCTATTTTATTATGATTCTATTTAATTTCGCTACGTGTTATGGCCTACTAGTATTTATTCATATACATAAGTTTATTTCTCTTTATATCTCATCAATTAGTATCATAGTAGGGTTTTGGTGATTTAATTTTTTATATTAGAACATAGAGGCTAGTAGTATTTCTCGTATGATTAGCTTGAATAAAAATAATTGGATGATATGAAAACCAAGAATAGAAGATCTCTTGTATTGCAAAGATTTGTATGGACCTTTGCAGGGGGATAATGCAAAGCTCGTAACTATGACAAATGATGAATGGAAGAGGTTAGATAGAAAAACAGTTGTGTTTTTTCGACAGTGGCTTGATGATAGTGTCTTTCACCATGTTTCTACTAAAAGTTTTGCATATTCTCTTTGGAAAAAAGTTGGAAAGTCTCTATGAAAGAAAAATAGCCGGCAACAAAGCTTTCTTGATCAGAAAACTTATAAACTTGAAATATAAAAAGGGTGCTTCTATTGTTAAGCATTTGAATGAAATGCAGAGTATCACTAACCAGTTATTCTCTATGAAAATGTCTCTAGACGATGAGTTGCAAACATTATTACTTCTTAGTCCATTACTAGAAAGTTAGGAGACACCGGTGGTTTTCCTCAATAATTCTGCGCCAAATAATATTGTCACCATGAGTCAAGTAACAAACAGTTTATTGAATGAGGAGTTGAGAAGAAAGAATTCAACAACATCTTAAAATGATTCATAGGCACTTATCTCAAAGAACAAAGGAATGTCAAATTCCAAGGATAAAAGTATTTCACGTATGGGTAGAAGCAAGTCAAGATCAAGAAAAGATATTGTTTGCTATAACTGAGGTGAGAAAGGACATTACAAGAACCAATGCAAGCAACCTAAGAAGAGCAAGAAAAAGGAAAAAGAAGTAGAGGCTATAAAGTGTAGGGTGGTGATTATTTAATTTTGTCTCCTTCTAATAATATATTTTCTTGTGTGTGTCAAGATCTTGAGTGGATGATTGATGTTGAATCTCAGATTTTGATGATAAAACCAATTGATAGTATTTATGATTTGATCTGTGTTTTGAGTGACGTAGGAAGCTTCGATTAAGGAGAGACAATTAAAGCAGGAAGAATCATGTTGGGCCAGAGAGAAATATGTCAGAAGATTGGATGTCGAGCCGAATGATCGGTCGATGTATTGACAGAAGGTCTCGGGCTATGGATCGGGCAATAGGCCAAGAAGAGCGAAAATTGTGCCAAGGAAATCAGAGATGCAAAAGTCAACTGGTCGATTAGGCAATAGGCCGCAAGAGAGAATGATGCGCCAAAGAATCGGACGAGGCGTCGATGAACCAATGACATACCGAACAGCATTTGATTAGCTTTGTAATAATTGTCTAGATTTAAGAAGGTTTTAAGTGTATAGGATTAACTATGATAGTGATCAAGGCATAAAGAAAAATAAAGTCCCGGAGTCAAGAATGATATTTCGTTGGGAGTTCGAGAGTTCGTCGGAAGTCCGAACGTTCATTGAAAGTTCTGCCGGAATTGGCCGAAAAGTCTAGGAGCTTACCAAAGAAGTTTGTCGGAACTCACAAAGAAGATCATCATGAAATCTAAGAGCTTGCCGGGAGTCCGCTGGAACATTATGGAGAGATCGTCAGAAGTTCGCCGGAAGAAACCTAGACTTACGGACTTATTTAGTTTAGTGAATGTCTTAGAATTCGTAGTTAGCATATAATTGGATTAGAATTGGGTCCAACTCAATTAGGGGCCAATTGGGCCTAAATTGGGAGTGATTTGGGCTCATTGGGAGGCTCATTCAACGACCCAAATGTTGGGTTAGGCAGTGGCACCGCTAGAACAGGCAATAGAACCGTCTATGAGTTGGAAAACTCAAAAAACTCAATCTCCGAGGCTGTCAGGTAATGGTACCACCAGACTGGGCAGTGGTACTACCCAGTGATAGTGTGTTAGGTGATAGTACCACCAAATTGGGCAGTGGTACCACTCGTTATCTCAAAATCTCGGGGATTTGAATTTTGGCTTCAAGTTTTGAAGTCATTTGGGGTCTATAAATACCTCAGCTATTCCTGCATGGAACAACAAGAAATATGATAAAAAACTTTATGTTTCTAAAGTTGAAAACCCTTGTAAATTGTAGAATCCCTCGTCCTAAAGTTTAGAGACAATTCTAAGGGAGAGTGTAAAGGAAGCTTTGTAAAAAGGGGTGTAAAGGTTGTCTCCTAAACCTGTGAAAAAGAGAAGAGGGATGTAAAAGGGTAGTTGGTCTTCGCTCATTGAAGGAAGACTGTTAGTGGTGTTGAATCTCGTATTTTGATGATGAAACCACTTGATATGTGTTTATGATTTAATCTGCATTTTGAGTAATGTAAGATACTTCGATCAAGATGAGACAATTAAAGCAGGAAAATCATGTTGCGCCGGAGGAATATGTCAGAAGATTGGACGTCG